AGTAGTTTTAGCTGGAAATACTTTTACGTAACAATCTCTATCAACAAAATTTCTAATAATATTCTTTTTTATACCTAAGTCTAATGCTGCAATTTTGTATGTTGCGTTTTCGTTGCCCATAGTATAAGCTGTTTTAGTACTCACTTTTGATGCCAACTCTAAACCGTCCATTGATGGAACATTTTTTAAAATAGCATTTAACTCTTCTAATGAATTAATTTCTGATGAAATAATAGCATTCATTGCACCTTTTTCACGCACATGTCTTACAATTGCTCGAGTATCTAAATTGGTAACGCCCACTAAATTATTTTCTTCAAAATAAGATTGAATATTTTGGTTTGCTTGTATTCTTGAATAATTATTCGTGTATTCTCTACAAATTAATCCCGCTATTTGTATTTGATTAGCTTCTTCTTCTTGATGTTTAATACCATAATTACCAACGTGTACATTGGTGGAAATTAGTAATTGTCCGTAGTAACTTGGGTCTGTAAATAATTCATGGTATCCAGTCATTGAAGTATTGAAACAAATTTCTCCTGTAGCTGTTCCAATTTTTCCGCAAGCATTAGCTTCGTAATGTGTGCCATCTTCTAAAAGTAGTATTGCTTTTTGCATATTATTTTGTATTTAGATTTAAAAAAAAAGGTTCGCAATAAATACGAACCTTATATGATTAAAAATAATTTTCATATTCTTATTCTTCAGTTTTGTTTTCTTCAGCTGTGTTATCTGTTGTACTCTCTGTTGCTGTGTTTGTTTCCGTTTCCGTACTCTCCTCTTCTTTTTTCTTTGTTGTTCCAGCTCTACGTGTACGTTTTTTAGGCTCTGCACTAGCATTAGTGTTAGATTTGTTAGCAGTGTACAATTCGTTAAAATCTACTAACTCAATCATAGCCATTTCTGCGTTATCACCCAATCTTTTACCTAATTTAATAATTCTTGTGTAACCGCCTGGTCTGTTAGCTACTTTTGGACCTACAACATCAAACAATTCTTTTGCAGCATATTTGTTTTGTAAATGACTAAATGCAGTTCTACGAGAATGCGTTGTATTGTCTTTTGATCTATTGATAATTGGTTCAACGTGCACTCTAAGCTCTTTTGCTTTTGCTAATGTTGTTTCAATTCTTTTGTGCATAATTAATGCGTTAGACAAATTTTTGAGTAACGCACTTCTGTGCCCAAATTTTCTTCCTAAGTGATTTATTTTATTTCCGTGTCTCATTTTATTAGTATCAAGTTACTAATCCAGAAATGGTTATTTGCAACATGGACAAAAACGTAAATCTTGAACTTGAACTTACAATAGGTAGAGGTAGAGGTTACGTTCCAGCAGAAGAACATTTCGTAGATTCATCTGTGGTTGGTGTAATTGCTGTAGATTCAATTTACACACCTATCAAAAATGTAAAATACAAAATTGAAAACACACGTGTTGAGCAAAGAACAGACTTCGAAAAATTAATTATAGATATTAAAACTGATGGTACAATACATCCAGAAGATGCTATCAAAGAAGCAGCAAAAATTCTAATTCAACACTTAATTCTTGTTTCTGACGAAAATATTACATTTGAAACAGAAAATAAACAACAAG